TCCCTTCCTCCTGTGCGCCAGGCCGTTGGCCGTGCGGTCAGTTCACGTCTGCCGCTGGCCCTTGCCGGTGTTCCCAGGCACACGAGGCCTGGCGCAGACCAGGCAGTAAGTTATCTTTTTCTCAATGAAGAAGCTGAAAGTTTTATTAAATGGTTTCTTAAGCTGCTGCCAGGCCGTTGCTTCATCGTATAAAAAGAGCACCAGCAAAGGCAAGTGAATTACAAACTTAAAAGAGTGTTCTTTTTTTTTTAAAATCATTTTATTGGGGCTCATACAATTCATCACAATCCATACATACATCAATTGTGTCAAGCACACGCATACATTTGAAAATAGTGTTCTTCAGCTGTTTCTGTACAACTAATCAAAAGACCCGCACTCCTGGTCATTTCCAGTGGTGAGAGAATTAAGTATCTTGGCCCAAACCCAGGTGTGGATATCGCAGTAGCTACAACATCATAGGAGGCTGAAGATCACAATGTACCTTTTGAGTGGCTTAAATTTTATAATTATTCTCACCACAGATCACTTCATGACTCTGAACTAGACCCTCACGTAAAAATCACAGGCTGCTGTGAAAAGAGATGTCTTGTGCTTCTCCACAATCATTTTAGGAAGTTAAGGGGAACTTTCTAACAATAACGCAGTTGCCAGGACTAGTTTCTCTTTCCGGGGGTCTGTGGAGAATGACTTTCTTTGCACCACTGCTGTGAGCCCGCTCTGCCAGAGTTGGTTGTTGGGGCCTGCGGTAGTCAGGGGTCCCATTTTCAGTCCTCGATGGATTTCTCACGCAGCTTCCTCCGTGTCATCTGATGGATCAGCCCACCCTCTTCCCACCAGGATTTGTTCACGAGCCCTGGGTTTTCTGCAAGTGAGTCACTGATTTCTGTGACTCCTCCTGATGATAAAAACGGGGAGTTGACCCGATCCAAAGCCCCAGGCTCATTTTGCTGTTCAGTTTCCTCCCAACTTCAGGAGGATGACAGTCAACAACATCCCTCAAAGCTTCCTGTGCAAAACGGCTCAGCCCACGCTTCCAGCGCCGTTTTCCGTTGTCACCCATCCACGTTTGCCTGTGAACGCAGCGCCACCCACGTAGGGCCCCAGCGCTGCGCTGCGCCGGGCAGGGTGCTGAGAGCTGTCTGCGTGCGTTCCCACCACGTGTGCAGGGCACGGGATAAGTTATTTTTTTAATGAAGAAAGATGGTAAGAGTCAATGGTGGGCCCCTGATGGCATAGTGGTTACTCATTGGGCTGGTAACTGCAAGGCCAGCAGTTTGAAACCACCAGCCGCTCCACTGGAGAAAGGCCAGACTTTCTACTTCCGTGAAGAGTGACAGTCTCAGAAATTCACAGGGCAGGCTCACCCTGCCCTGTAGGGTCACTCTGAGTCCCATGGACTCGATGGGAGTGGGTTTGGTCTGGAAGGGTTGAGTTGTTGATGTTCCTCTGGGAAGGCTTCTTGGGGGCACCTATGGAACGAGAGTGGAGTGGAGTGCTGTAGATTGGAGATGTGATTTGGTGCAGGGAGCAGACCTGGGGGACGCACTCTATCCATTTAACATCACCGAACCATTTCTATTCGCACTCTATCCATTTGACATCACTGAACCATTTCTATTGTCAGGCCTCATGCGGGGCAAGGGGGAAGAGGGTCTGCACTCAAGTTACTTACCCTGCAGCAGGCAAGGAAGACAAGGTAGGCACTGACAAACAGAGTGTCACACGTGAGCACAAGGCGGAGGAGGATCCTCTCAGACAGCAGGCTGGGGGTGGAGGTGTGAAGGAGTACCCCCCTCCCCACCAGACAACAACAGAGAGGTGCAGAGGCAGGGACAGGGGGCTTCAGGGAGACTAGAGGTGGGAGACTAGAGGTCGGAGGCTGGAGGTGGAGCTAGTAGACCAGGCGAAGGGGTGGACTGCATCCTGGGGGTATTGGGGAGCGCTGATGGCTTGCAGAAAAACGCTGGGGAGGGACCGGCTCCTGCAGACCACAATGCAGACTACCTCCCCGAACCTTGGCCCTCCTCGTCCTGGTGCCCCGGCTACACACTGAGCTCCTTCTACTTTACTATTGTGCGTCCCCTCAAGACCCTGCCCCCACTCCCCGCCCCACCCACCCTCAGTCTGGGCCGCCTCCTGCTGCCTTAGCGCAGCCAGTGAGACAAGGAGCAATATATTGGGAGGGTGCCACTCAGTGGTGATGTTTAGAAGAGCAGGAGCTACCAAGTTCCCAGGAGTCCCTTTTTGGTCTCTTTGACCTTGGGAACTCCTTGCCCCTCTCCCTTGGGCCCCAGATCTGAATCAGAACACCAATTTCTTCCTGGCCCATGACCAGAGCCACCCCCAGCTGGATGAATCTTCCTGCAAGGATATCGTCAATACCTTGTCCTTGGTCAACATGATCCTGGGATTCTTCTCCATCTTCTGCAGCTTCTACAGGTAGGCGTGGGGTCCTGAGAGCTCTCAGGCCCGTGCTGGAGCCCAGGGCAGGACGAGGGGAGCAGGGAGTTAGAGCCAGACACTGAAGCACAGGGGTCAACTGGGAGCAGGTTTGGGAGCCAAAGGGCCAAGATCCTAGCCTCAGTTCTGCCACCAACCTGGTGTGTGACCTTGGCTAGGTCACATCCCCTTCCTGGGCCTTAGTTTCTCTATCTGTAAAATCAGGAGCTTGCTCTGTAATCTCTGTGGTTCCTTCCAGTCCTGGTTAAATTGGCTTTTATGAGAAAATCAAGAAATTGTGTTCCTCTGGCTTTACCACCACGTGGGGTGGGCTCCAATTCATACTTCCCGATTCTTAAATGAGAACATATGGTCTGGCAGGATGTTTGAAATAAGCATGTCCTGGAAAATCTGAGACATATATCTACATCCACAGACATATATACATAGATATATGTCTCCGCCCACCAAACTGGGGCTGAATTGTATCCCCGTCATCATATTTTAATGCCCTTGGGAAACCAGCTCTTCAAAGACAAATCCCCCAACTGCAAATAACATCCTTTGAATCTGGGTCTCCTTGACCTTTAGCAAGTGACTTTCCCAGGACCTGTTTCTCATCCTCTAAGTGAGATGCTTTGACCTAAGCCTGGGACAGGCCTGCAGTGGGAACGCTCTCTCAGCACATGCTGGGCCTGTGGTTTTCCCCCACCCAGAGGAGTCCAGGATGCTGATTTCTTCTCAGCATGTCTAAGAAGAAGCTGATGAGAGTGACTGCAGGGCTGGGGTGGGGTAGCTCTCTCCCGGGCCACTGAGTAGCCCAGGCCGTCTTGGGAAGGGGCCTCGGGGTGCTTGCTGGGGGCTGTGGTAGCCCCTGCACAGGGCTCTGGCCAGGGACAGGGAGGATTTGGAGGAACCTCAGCGCCCCGTGGTTCAGATGGACAGCGGAGGCCTGGAGAGGAGAGTCATTTATCGGAGAATTCTCAGCGTTGGTAGCAGGGACTGGGCTGGACCTGGGCCCCCTGCCCCGTGGAAAATGCCTGGAATTGAGAGCTGGGAGGCGCTGCAGGGATCACCACGGGCTCCGAGGACTCCCTGCAGAGCTCTGTGTGGAGGATATTGGAAGGCGATAGCCATGTGTGAGGGCATGTGTTCCATGTGTTTGTGAGTCAGAAAGGCTGCTGAGTGGAGGCTGTGCGGAGTTGTGTGTGTAAGCAGCGTAAGAGTGGTGTGAAAAGTGTGTTGTCCTGGGGACATGGAGTGGTTGTCTGCGGGACACTGTGACTGATGGGGCTGCGTCCTAGGAAACCCCACTGCGCCTCCTGGCTGCTTCTCATCAGCTTCTTCTTAGACATGGCAGTCGGGACCATGAACAGGCACCTCAGCATCTTTACCAAATCAGGTAAATCCGGGTCTCAGGACCCCAGTCTCTGCACTCCAGAGCAAAGAGTCATCTCAACACCCCATAGGCCTGTCACTTCCCTTCAGAGCTGGCCTCAGGGAGCTTCTTGCCCCTCTGCTGGCTCCTGAGCATCCTTATCTGTCCTGCCTCCCTGCTCAGGGCCACCCCAGGTGCTGGCGGTGGGCGGTGGGCGGTGGGGGGTGGGGGTGGGGATGGAGGGCAGGTGAGAATGCTCGGGATCTGGGAGATGCAAAACTCCCCCAGAGGGAGCAACTGGTTCAAAACGTCTCTGTGTAAGATTTTGCATGATAAATGAGTTTCCTTGCCCATCAATAGATCTCTCATTTTAATGCCATCCTGGCATGGGAAAAAGGAAGATGGGGCTGTGTGGTCGGCACAGCAGAGATGGGAGGAGTCCTTTGTCTAAGACCACCAGCGGAGCAGCTGTTGCTACCTGAACCCCAGAACCCCTACTAGTCTCCCCTAACCTCTCCAGCTCCCCCTCCAGAGGGCGCTAAGATGCAAGGGCGGGGTGGGGGGTGGGGGGTGCTCCACCTTCTAACCTTGGGCCTTCTGGAGCAGGAGTGGAGCTGAACGACTTTGCTGTCTTCACCACCTTTGGCCTGGCCTCGGCCCTGCTCCCAGGCCTGGATGGGCCTCTCAGTGGGCTCCTGGCCATCCTGTATGTGCTAGCGACTTCTTTCCGCCTGTGCTTTTTCTCAACCGGTGAGTGGAGCCGGGGCAGCCTTGGGGCTAAGGGCAGGGGACCACGGGGGTGGGTGGGTGGGGGCTGGGGTAGAGCCACTGGATGCAGTGACTCACTCGCTCTTTCCTTTTTGGGATGCTCCTTTCTCCTTTCTCCCACACCCCACCCCAGCCTCTCTGGAGGCTCCACTCCAGGCTGCCCTGGGCTGAGTGACTGAGGGCCCCGGTTCCTGGGTCAGCTCTCCCCCGTCTCACTGAGTAACTAGACCTGGAGAGCTTTCCCCAGTCCCCCAAAACTGGAGAGCCTCTGCTCAGCAGAGGCTAGGCATCTTGCCTCAGGTCACAGAGGAAGGGGGTGCAGCTGCAGCCTAGGCTCTAGACTGGAAGGGCGATCTCAAGTACAGACACTGTAGGCCAGGGCACAGCCCTTGCCCTCGCTGGCTGCCTGCTTCGGCTCTGGAAAACCAATGCAAAATGCAACCCGGGGTACCACTTCTGTTGGTGCTTCACAGCTGCCCACCCCCTCAAGCCCCCGATTTCAGGGAATTATGGAATTTCTACTCCTGTAAAGAGTCACAGCCTCAGGGACTCACAGGGGCAGCTCTACCCGGTCCTATAATGTCACCATGAGTTGATATCGACCCAATGCCAGTGAGTTTGTGCCTTTTTTTTTTTGTAGTCTAAGGAGGGGAAGCCCCCAGAGAGAGAGGCTTGCTTCATTTAGACACCTTTGTAGCCATGGACAGGTCTCTGGATAGCCCAGATGGTTTCTGCTTGGCTACTTACCACAAGGTTGGTGGGGCTGAACTCACCCGGCAGTGCTGCAGAAGAAAGGCCTGGTGATCTGCCTCTTTAGAGATTCCTGCCCAGAAAGCCCCAGGGAGCTCAGGTCTCCTCCGTGAGGCTTTGCCTGGGGTTGCTGGGAGCCAGAGTTGACAGCTATTCGTGTGGGGTTCGGCTTTGCTGGTTTGCTTTGGAGCAGGGAGAGCCGTCTTTTCTTTCCCTGGCAGGAGTCCCCTTCATCTACAAGGGCCTACCCAGCCCCTACGCTTCCTGTGTCTTGGCCTCCACCTCCCTTCTGACCAGAGGCAACACGTTCATTCTCTCCTGCGTGGCCTCGCTCATGATCCTGTTCATGATGGACCAGACCTACTATCCCCATGAGGAAATCCTCGAGTCGGAGAACTGGAAAAAAATCGTTTATCTGGGGGGTAAGTGAACACGCTGCTCTCACGGCTTCCAGCGGTGGGTTTATTCACCAACTATCACCCAGTGTTCCCTAACCTGCTCTGTCTCATTTCTCGCCAACGAACTTGTTGTCACGTGACAGAACACGGAGGTACTCAGTTCTTTTTGTCTATAAACTCTACACTTCCCTCCCCCACAGGAACATAAACCCCGTGAGGACAGGGGTTTGATTCGTACGGTAATCCCTAGGTCGGGAATAATGCCAGCCACAGAGTAGATGCCCAATAAGTATTTGTTGGAAGTTATGAACTGTTCCTCTAACAATGTCGTGGGCCCATACTCACTACCTTCTTTTTGAGGGGGAAGAAAATAGTAAAAGGATGAGAAAGAATTGTAATTCTTGTAACTCAAAGGACTGTAAAGGAAAAGACAGTTTAGATAATATACCCACAGAGTATCTAGCACACATACACAGATACCTTACAAATATTGGGGCCCTTTTGCCTTTTGGCATTGAAGTAGATTCAAATTGTGTTCGGGGCTCACCCCCAGCTGTGGTGGCTGGGTAGGACTCCCAGGGCTCAGTTAGACAGTTGTCCTCATGGCTAAGGTCTATGACAGCCAGAACACACAGCGAAGTCAGCTCAGGGACAAGGTGCTTGGAACCAACGGCAGCGAAAACCAGTCACCAGCTTTCCAAAGGTCCTCTCCCCGGGGGAGTGCAGGCCAGGTCCTTTCCCCTAGGGGAGTGAGGCCAAGCTTCATGTCTCCAGCATGGAGCTGTAGCAATACACATGAGTGCGGGCCATCAGGGAAGCTCCAGAGATGCTCAGCGCTCTGGGGTCTTATTGAGGCCTGGTCACAAAGCTGCCCTCTGCCCAGTGTGTATTTCGTTCTGCGTAGGGTCACTTTGAGCTGAACTGACTGGACAGCACCTAACACCACCGCCAAACACCCCAAAGCTCAACATGAACCCCAAATCCAGACTCCCAGAAGGAACGTGGCAGTCCAGCATACACTTCTTTGTAGAGAGTAGGGACAGTGGGCCGCTTACCAGTTAGGAAAGGTTTGGTATTCCTGTGGGCAACTGTTTACCAGGCCAGTGTCCAGTTGCCAGCCAAGAGTAGAGCAGGCCTTGTGAAGTTCGGCTTATGCCGAACTCTTTTTCTGCAACAAGTCATATTGGATTGGCCATTTATACACGTTGAACTAGAAAGAATGAGGATTTTTATTTAGTTTTTTTAGTAAGGGGTATCCGGATAAATTCTGGTTTTATTCTTGGTCGGGACTGGTTTCTGTCCTGAGTTTGACAGTGCAGTGGAATTTGGGGTCACATTATAATCGTCTAGTTGCTTACCAACCAATCGCCACCAAGCTGATGTTGATGCACAAGCATCAGGGTAGATCGGTATTCATCAAGTTTACAATGGCTGCTGTTCAGAAGGAGAGTAGGGGACCCCCCCCCTTTCAAGGTGTGACCGGGTGGACTGGGACCGGCAGCAAGTGCCTTAACCATTTTTAACCAAGCTTCTTAGAGACAGGGCGGCATCTCAAGTGGCAGGATCATGCGGGGTGCCCCGGGTCGGAAGGGTGCACACACACACACACACACACACACACACACACACACACACAAGCTTCGTACAAACTGAGTGTGCGCCTGTTTCCTCCTCTTGCAGGTGTCATCATACTGTTTGTGTCTCCGTTCTCTCTGACCCCCTTTTACTGCCTGATCTGGGCCATCTCCTACATCTTCTTTCCAGATGCGTTGTGGGGCAAGACAAGCTGTCTCAGACGACCACGGCCCCGCGGACACTGACAGCTCCACCACCTCCCTCTGGCCTGTGTGTGTGTGGGTGTGGGGGGCAGCGGGAGAGGGGGACGTGCCAGCATGTTGGGCTGAGGCTTGCTTGCCTTCTCCTTACTAAATCTCTCCTTCTCCTATGTGGTTGTGCAGTGGACTGTTACCCACCAGGTCGGCAGTTCGAAGCCACCAGCCGCTCATGGGAGAAAGAAGTGGCTTTTTACTCCCATAAAGATTTACAACCTCAGAAACCCACAGGGGCAGGTCTACCCGGGCCTGTGGGGTGGCTGTGAGTCAGAATCAACTCAACGGTCCCCTTGTAACTATGTGGAAAGAGGGCCACACCCGACACTGGCCCAGGGCCTCCGGAGGCTCAAGCTCGGCATTCCCAAGCCTTCACTTCTGGTGTCTGGTGTTTCCTGAAACACACGGGCCCTTCTTGAACTTCCTCTTAGTAACAAGGGAAAGAGACCAAGACATTCAACACACACTCCTCAAAGGAACACGTGAAGTCCGAGGGCTCTGGTCTTGATTCTGGGAGCTCTGGTGGTCCTCAGCTTGAGATGGAATGTAGTGTAGACTTCCTTTCTGGTCAACAGCCAGCCCCCGACACAAGCTGCCTCACCATGTTCCCCGAGTCTGGGGATGGAAAGGAAGTGCCTGCGAGTTGCTGCTTCAGTTTGGTTTGGTTTGAGCTCTGTGGCCTTGAGCTTAATCACCCCAAACCCATTTCCTTATCTCTAAAGTGTAATGTTCACTTCCAGGAAGGATTATTATTATAATTATTTTTAAACATTTTATTAGGGGCTCATACAACTCTTATCACAATCCATACACACATCAATTGTGTAAAGCGCATTTGTACTTCATTCTCAAAACATTTCCTCTCCACTTAAACCCCCGACATTAGGTCCTCATTTTTCACCTCCCTCCCTGCTCCCCCCTCCCTCATGAGCCCTTGATAATTTATAAATTGTTATTTTGTCATATCTTGCCCTGTCCCACATCTCCCTTCACCCACTTTTCTGTTGTCCGTCCCTCAGGGAGGAGGTCACATATAGTCCCTTGGAATCGGTTACCCCCTTTCCAGGAAGGATTATTTTATGGATTAAATGAAATGAGACATAGGATGCTTAGAATATATATAATTATTTATATTTTTATTATATATAATTTGAGTGGCAAATAACACGTGAAAGGAGTTAGAGAGACGTTGGTTCTCACCTTCTCCGCCTGGTGGCCCGCAGCCTTCCCTTATGTAGTGTTGGATTCCCAACAGCAGTAAGAGTAACAGTAAACATTTCCATTTAGTTCCCTCACTCTGTGCTGGGAACTTACCCCACACTTTACTGTCGTACTTAACCCCCCCACCCCCCACGCCCATGATGTCAAATGCCGGCAATGTCACTGGAGGACCGCTTCTCAAAGTGTCATCTGCAAACTCCTGACATTCCGAGACCCTGCCAGGTTCAAGATCTTTTCTTAACCTGCACAGGGACCAAACTGTCACTGGGTTGACCTTATGGCGTGAAAGCAATGCTAAGCACGCCCATCGGTGTCTTGGCATGAAGGCAGGCAGTGGCACCCAGTGGGTCACTCAATAAACCATTCTGCGCACTGAAGCGCCGGCCTGCGTAAAGCACCTCGGCTGCGCACGTAAGTCACGAAGATTGTCTCCAGGAAGAGCACTGGGGTCCGAGATGAACTAGCTGCGGTTTTCAGGAAACGCCAGAGGACAACAGAACACTTCCTTAAATAAGCCCTTTAATCAAGAATATTGTCTTTGAGTTGTGTGTGGCCATTGCAATGAATTATCCAACTCTAGCTGGACAAATAGAAAGGATCACAGACTTAAGGAGATTAAAACTTGTCCAAAGTTCACACAATTAGTAAGCATTGGACCCGAGTCAAACCCAGGTAGCCAATCTTCCAAAGTTTAATGGTCTCATTAGTTTTGATTCAGGGCTTCTAAAATGCTTCCTCGTATTTCTATCAGGAACTGGGAAGGGATCATGTTAAGGTTAGGGCATTCTAGAAGGTCCACCAAAAGTGATGTGTTCCTAATTTTCATTGACTGTACCTGTATGAGCCGTGGCGGTCAATGCTATTAAAAATATGAATGCCAAGGCCTCTGGCGCGTTTACCTGGTATTTCTCAGATTTTTCTTCTTCTTTAAAATGTGAATAAAAGATGACCCATCCTGTCTTGGCTCAGGGATATTATTGTATCTCAAAAAACTTTGACCACAACTTATAATGAAGAATCACCTTTACATCAAACTCAGTGCATACATTACAAGGGTAAGACTGAAATATGAAATATCTTTATAACACATTTTCTAATCTAAAAAGAAAAGCTGATTATGATTCATGATCCATTAAACTGACTTAACAACATGTGAAGTTTGAGAATCTTTGCCCTCCTGGGACACTTGCTATGAACAGGTCTCCACGACTGAGACGTATCCGAACTCCTCCCAGCCAATGATCTGAACCAGTTCAACACTGACGTTCCAACAGCCCGCAGGGAGGGACGCAGGGCACGGGACAGCTTGAGGTGTTCCTGGCACCGTTGAGAAATGATGGGCATTACCTGCTCATGTGTCACTTGGTATTTGAAACAGAAACATTTCTCATGGATCAATCTGAAAGCCGGTTAGGAAAAGGCGCTTTTGCAGAGGATCTATGATCCACAGTGAGGGCCCTGGTGGCATAGTGGGTTACAAGTTGGGCTAACTGCAACTGTAAAGATTTACATGCTTAGAAAGCCAAAGGGGCAGTTCTGTCCTATGGGTTCACTGAATTGGAATCAACTCAATGGCAGTGGGTTGGGGAATATATACATTAACTTAGGAAATTCTCAACGATGATCTAAGAAGGAATTACTTCATCATATAGATGAGAAGAGTGAGTCTTAGAGAAGTTGATGCTCTATCTGAAACAGAACTGGGATAGGTCATTTGGCTCCCGAAATTGTGCTTTCTAGCACACCACATTTCCTAACATTTATCAGAATAGCTTCCTCTGACCCCTAGCCTGAGTAAATAGAAAGCTCATTCAACCCAAATTTAGCAGGACACTATGAAATTGAATGACCACTTAAGAGGATCTGAGGGGACTTAGCTCATGGGGAAAACAGAAGGAAAAAGATAATGGAGTTTTCCCACAAATCTTTTGAAGCCCCCTCACAAGTAGAGATTGTCCTTAATTATAACTTGGGCTCTCGAAAACAGAGGCAGCAAGTTCCGTAGGCCCCTAGTCTCTAGTTGGCTGTTCAAAGAAGCCTAAGTAACGACAACAACCTTCCCAGCGAGTGCGGGGCAGCAAAGGGCCATGGCAACAGCATGAGAAGCTGACAGAAAGGAAACAAAGCATCTCTGACTGAGCGAGCAGAGGAAGTGGCAGTGTTCGCCTTTACCCGGAGGGAACTACTGCCCTTCCCTGGTTACCTCACACTCTGAAATCCTTCCCCAGGAATTCCTAGAAGCAAAATATCCCGAAACCGTTCCTTAACATTAAAACACAAATACCGGAAGCGGAATTCACATTTCTAGACCTAAAAATAGCAGGTAGGTGCCCAGGTGAGTGGTTCCTGAGGAGACAAGTCTGAACACGCTCATCACAAGTTTCGTCAAAGGCCCGACAAAGTTTCCCTCCAACTCAAGAACAGAAAAGGCACCCGCAGGCCCTTCTTCCGTGGGGACCAGCCTGCTGCCCGGAGCCGTCATCACCAGGCTCAGGAGGGTGCTAGCCAGGCTCAGGATGGTGCTAGCCCCGACGAGCGGCCCACCTGCGAGTGAAGAGCCACACTTACACCTCTTGAGGCTAAACACTCAGGCTCGGCGGGGTCTCAAGTGGCCATGTCTTTTCCTCTGCTCACCCAGCGTTGCTTACCTGTTACACTATGGGGGCTCCACTTTCTACAAGTAGGCACCCACTCTAGTATAAACAAGTGAACATTTTATTGATATCTTATTTGCATTTTGATAAAGATACAGTTTCACAAGAAACACTCATTTTCTCAAACAATTAAAAAAGGTTTTCAAAATCTCAATCACCTCGGAAGAAGAAAACAAGTCTCTTCAGGGCGGATCAGGCAGTTTCAGATCGGAGGAACTGCTGAAGCAGGAGTTAGGTGGGGAAGCAAGTTCAGGTTCACCCAGTTTTAGGAGCAGCACAAATGTCTTTCTGGAAGGCTCCAGAGGAGCCAGCTCAGCTTAACACGGGCAACGAGGCTCACAGACAGTGTCCGGGTCCCAGCTTGTTTGACCACGGAGGAGACTCACTCCCCAGGAGGCTGCATCTGCTTACAGAACTCATCAAACTGCTGCTGCTCCAGCTCTGTCATGACTCTGTTGAGCGCATAGATCTGAACGGGAAGAAGAAGCATGCTAGCAGTGGAGGCAGGTGCTCAATAGATCTTTGGACACAGGTAAGTTCTGTCATCTGGACAATTCCAGACCTGCAGGGGTCCTGATAGGAAAGGTGGGTAGAAATTCTGTTTGGACAGTTAGGAAAGAAGCAGTGAGGTGGCCTGGTTTGGCCTTTAAAGGAGTGGGAGGATCTGAATAGGTAGAGAGGGGGATGGGGTGTGGTTAAGTAATATGCGAAGGAATTTATTTGGGTGGGGGAATAACATAATGGAAAAGAACAGGCTCAGTTCTGAGAAATCTACGTATCTGGAACCTGACTGTATCTGGCTGACCATGGGGCACCAGCAGAGACAATTATACAAGGGGGCAACCTGGTTATAGCTGGGCGCAGTGTGCGGGGGCAGATGGTAGGCCAGTTAGGGGTATCTGGACTCTGCAGAAACCTGTGCAGCATCACAGCAACACACCAGCCTTTCCTGACCTGTGGGTGGCGGCGGCTATGCATGATTCTACCAGGAATCACCATCGGCCCGAGTGTGGGCAGGGGAGCAGAACCGAGCGATTATTTGTCCATCAGTCAGTCTGTTCTCCAAACACTATGAAACAGACTAATGACTCACTGCAGAGATCTGCCCATCTCTTTCCATCAAACTCCCCTGA